AAGTAATAATGAAGATAGTCACACAATATGTTGACTTCACTAATAACTACTGCATGTGGTGTAAAGGGTGGAATTTTAAGATATTCAATTTTTCCCCAAAAGTATAAAGTACCAAAAGCTATATTCCAAACACAGCACATGGTGTAAAAACTTTTTATAATACAAATTGTGATTCCAGCACATGTAAGTTCTCCATTTTTATTTAGAAACAGGGCAAAATAAATATGAATTTCAATATTACCTGTATGATGTTTAATTCATTTGCTTAAAGGTTAAAATAAGTAATATCACCATTTTGCACATTTAAGTAAAAACCTACTGAAAAATAACAAACTTTGGAGAAAATATAAACAAAAATCCTTAATCTTTATCCTCAGAATATGATGGTAGTAAAATTAAACATATTAAATCATGCCGTGGGCATTCTAAAATTAAGCAGAAAAGACAATTGTGTAATTAGAAATGGGAAACAAGAAACATTTAAATCCTTCTTGGCATTGTAGCTTAATCTATTCCATTATTAGTTGAGTTTTTAAATTGAAATAATCATACAATCCCTTCTGGTTCCTGTAAACACAACCTACCTAGTATTACATTAGACACAGCTCAGTAAAATCTCAACAACAAAACTCTCCAAATCTACCAAATATGTGGGAATAAGAACAGTATCTTTTCATTCCATAGACTTGAAATTTTATAAAGTTTCATCCTCAATCACAGAGGATTGGAAGCCTCTTTCAATGGAACTTTCCCTGATATAGATAGAATATATTGAGGGTTATTTCTCCAGAGACTATATCTATATCTACTATCTGAATATTTAAGGAACGAAATACCTATTTCCAACCTATGCAATACAATGTACTACTTCACATCATCTAAATATTCTAATCTTCAGCTTTATCATGATGTCTCTAGTTTTTTTCTAAAAGTTCAGCATGGGCAGGTCTAGACAAAACTGTGAAGTTGGTAATTTATTGATAGTACCTCCACCTGAATTCCTCTTTTGTGTCTCACTTTCACTTTCCACTACTACCCCACCCAACTCCCTCCAAACCTTTTGAACCCTCACATTCTTCCCTGAATGTGAGAGTTGTCTCATCCCAGATTTTATATCCCAGTTTGTTAATTTATTCAATATTGATCAAGCACTTACTAACAAAGCAGGAGCATCACCGTCTTGGACAAGCCCCTCATTCTAAAGTTCACCTTAATAAAAAAACTGCCTAAATCCAAAGGGCATCAGCGTAATGGCTAAGGTCAGCATGACCATAAACCACAAATAACATCTCCAACCAGAAACATTCCAAACTCCTCCCCAACTAGAGACATGCTGGCCCCTAGATAAGCCCCTCTAGCTGGGAAGATGCTAGCCTTGAGATAGCCCCACTTTGGACCCTAAAGATGTCTGCCCCAGATAACCTCCCCTCCTCCTAGAGAGATTCCAACCCCACTATAAAATTCTCCACACACATAAACATTCCAAGTTTGTGATAAATCCCCCTCACCCTAAAACCAATATATACTCTTAGTCTATAAGAAAGCACTCCTGACCTCAATTGGCCAGGAGCACCTCTCAGGTTTTTGTTTGTTTGTTTGTTTGTTTTTTACTTTTTATTATTATTATACTTTAAGTTCTAGGGTACATGTGCATAACGTGCAGGTTTGTTACATATGTATACTTGTGCCGTGTTGCTACCTCTCAGGTTTTAACTAAAGAAAACCTGTCTTTGACTGCCAAGCCACGTTTTGTGTTTCTTACTCCTTTCTTTGACTTTTACATTTGGTGCCAAAACCTGGGACGAGTGCTGGGGGCAGAGGCTCCCTTGCAACCCAGGAAGCAGTGGGCCATGGCTACTCATCCTGAGTTAACTCCTGGATCCTGAGGGTCTCTGGCCACCTGCCCTGTAGTCTTTTCTCTCACTTCACTTTTCCCTCATCCTCCCTTTCTCCTTTCTCCTTTCTCTCTCTCTCTCTCTCTCTCTCTCGTGCTGCAGTCCAAGAGACCCTTTGCTGATTCCAACTAGAACATCCAATATCAGACACTATCCAGCGACTGGTAAGATCTGCCCTCCCCTGGCTTTCTCACAGTAGCTAGGAAAAGTTAGGTCCACTGTCCAGGTCCTCAGAGGACTAGCGTGACTAAGCTAGAATAAATCTTGGGGATGCCCAGTTTTCTTCTCAGCTTGACCATCCTCTTTAGAAAGAGGATTCCGGGTCTCTGTCTTTTGTCTGGGGACGCCTAGAACAAAAACAGACACCCTGGGCTTCTTCTCACCAGTCCACATGGATGATAAAAAATCCCACATTCCTACACCCTCTCCACTGTGCTGTCTCCTTCACGACCTCACCAAACTTGGTTTAAGTGTTTAGTCTTTTACTGTAACACGGCCTGGCCCCAAAACACATTAGATAATGACAGCCCATGGCCCAAAAATGGCACCTCTAACTTGCAAATGCTCAGGAATTTGACAACTTTATAACCAGGAATGGCAAATGGCAAGAGGTTCTCTATATTCAGGCCTTCTTCTGCTTCTACCTTAAATCTCAATCCTCTCTGTATCAAGCTTGCACCTCTCCTAAAATCTTTCTTCTTAATAAAAACCCTCCCCAGATCTCTCCTTCCTCCAAAACTCCTTTTGACCCTGCAGATAAACCCCCTCTGTATTCTTATCCCCCTGTATCCGCTCCTTACCCATCCAAATACTCTACCCTGGTGGCCCCTCCTGCTTCCAAGCATTCAGCCCCAAACCCCACTCCTCCTCCTTCTCTACCTGTTACCCATTCAAAAACCACCTCTGCATTCACACGCTAGGACTGAAATTAGGCTGGAATACAGAGGTGAGGTCAATACTCTGAGGCCTGACTCAGCTGCAGAGAAAAATATGTGAAACCAGAAAATCTGAGACAGGTCTCTTAATTTAGAAAGTTTACTTTGCCAAGGTTGAGGAGGCGCCCATGACACAGCCTCAGGAAGTCCTGACGACATGTGCCCAAGGTAGTTGGGGCACAGTTTGGCTTTATACATTTTATACATTTTAGGAAGACATGGGACATCAATCAATATATGTAAGAAGTACATTGTTTCAGTCTGGAAAGGTGGGACAACTTGAAGCAAAGGCAGGAAGACTGGAAATACGGAGGTAGCTTCCAGGGCACAGATGGGTGAGACACAAGTGGCTGCATTCTTTTGAGTTTCTGATTAGCTTTTCTAAAGGAGAAAGAGACATGAACACGAGCAATGCCTTCAACCCCAGCCACTTCCCAGAGAAGGAGAATGGTTATAGCATTCTATAACCACTTGGATGTTAAAGCATATATGGTCCTGATAAGAACAAGAAGGCACAACAAATTTAGAAGATTTGAGGAAGGTTTGCCCCCCAAAAATGCTTCATCTTGATCCTCTCTCACAGGATGGTGACCCTATCTTTCCAGTTGCTTAGGCCAAATTCCTTAGGGTCATTCTTGATGCCTTTTTTTCATAAACTTACATCTAATTGTCAGGAAATCCTGTGGTCTCTATGTTCGGAATATATCTAGAATACTACCACTTCCCAGCACCTTTGCAAAGCCATTACCTCCTGAGACTGAATTTCTGCAACAACAACAGAAAAGTAATATTGTGCAAAACTTTTTGTCTCTAATTTTCCAAAACACCTGATGACTTATCTATGTAGGCATATAAATGTGATCCCTAGTTTCAACACTTATGGTAAAAATTACATGTGATTCTGTCTTTTGTATGAGATTCCTGGCCCAATCTATTTCCTATCCTTTTTTTTAAACACACACACAGAATTAATACAAGCGAGACTGAAAACTGCCCTCAATAATATACTTACAGGTTCAAATAAAGATTTGAAAAGATCCAGAGGAATTACATGTCTGCCTCAGCAAGTTCATAACAGCAAATGGGGAATTGGGGTAGATTACTAAAAATAAATTTAAATAATCCTCTTTTGTAAACCGTACTAAACTTTGCCTGTTTAAGAAAATTTTGGCAAAGAAATTCTGACTCTCACAGTGAAAATACGTAAATTTATTTGAAACGGTTCCAGCTCCAGAAAATGCCAAGATAATTTACCAGTTTACAAACTTCAGAAAAGGTACCATGTTTTCTAAAACAATGTGGTCAACTTGACAAAAATCCTTTCCACCTTACTGCTTGTCTATTTTTGGAATGCCAGTTGCTGTAACTCTTAATACAAATTTAAGTGAAATAATCAGTTAATTTCTTCATAAGAAACAGTCATCACTTCAACTGCACATTAAATTGAAGGTGTGTAAAATAAAGGTGAAATAATATTATTCAGAAAAAAATAATCAACAGCCTATATACATTTGGTGTGTTACATTAAATATGAACTTAGCAGCTTTATGTATACTTATTAAGTTTTTAGACATATACTTAAGCTGAAACTGAAGTTAAGAAAGGAAATGGCCTTTGAAGCCAGCTACCAAAATCAGTCCTCCTTGGGCTTTAAAACTGAATATAAAAATACTACATCATAGGAAGGTGCAGAGTATGTCAACTAGTGGCAGGCCGGGTCTCACTAATGCAGGCCTCCACTACAACTGTTTCAGCACTGACTGAGTAGTTACGTTAAATGTCAACAGCTGATAGAGCCAGAGCCCTCAAACAAAGGCTGGAATGGAACAAAAGCCCACCAAGAGTCTGGCTTTGGCCTTTCCTGGGTCTTGAAACATGAAAAGGTAACAAAGGAATTCTTAACAGAACCCATTTACAATTAAACAATTTTATTGGTGATCTGAAGGAATTCCCCAGACCTCCATAAACAAGCTTTCTCGGGGACTAAAGGAATTCCCCAAACTTCCATGATTTAGCAGGAGACAAGATAAGGGTAATCACCCCTGGCATCTGGACCCGTCTAGATTAAGTGAATTTACTGGTGCTCCAGAGGAGGGTCTTCAGGACTCAGATCTTAGCTGCAGATTAAAAGAAGTTAATCACTTACGTCTTTAGATGAGTGCACACTTACATGTAGACACGTAGCTTAGAAGATACACAAGCTCTGAAAAACTTTGTAATTTTCAGTTGGTCAGGTGATAATTTCCAGGCCTTCTCCCTGTAACCAGTCACAAAATGAAAACCTCCTTTCTTTTCCAGTTCATCTGCATCTCCTTATTGGGCTACAAGAATAAGCAGCCTGATGATCCGTTTGGTCCGGGAAAAAACTTACATCTTCACTGTGATACATCAAACTCCTTTTGCAGTCATGCATTCATTAACAGTTATATGATGGCTCCTTTATTCTTGTCAACTATCTGTTTTCTATTCAAAATTCTTCAAATTTAATTGATTTAAAAGAAATATACAAAATAAAAACAGGTTGAGCCTTCATGTTTATGACTGCAATTTTAGGGCTGATTTACAGTGAGATTATTGCTCTCTCCCTAGGCTCTCTGGAAATTTAGTTAAATAGCAGTTTGTTTTATTTATGTTACATATGAACCTATTACTATAAAAATATTAAAAATAACAAATTTTATTAATTGCCTGTTATTTCTCAGCCATAATGCAAACCAATTTAAATGCATTAGCCACTTAAAAGTTATAACAACCCAGTGAGGTAGACATTCATACCTCCATTTATTTCAAAAGGACTTTAAATGGGAGTTATCTACCAACAGGCTGCTTGAGAAAAGTGTTGGTTATGTTCATGAGGGCATGGTTAAAATAATGATTAATTAACTAAGGATTTCTGTTACACTTCTTTCTGCAAAGAAACTACTTGCCCAAGGGGTATACATTATTTCTAAGTGAATGACAGAATGGTGAAATGTCCACATTTTAACAAGTGAGCCATAACTGACAGATGCTCTGAGAAAGAGCAAGTTCAGAAGAGTGTGGTGTTCTCAGTCTCCTCGGGGAGGGACGCCTCCACTCGGAATTCTAATTTCAGTTTCTGTTACTAAGGGAGAAAAGCAAAACCTGACAGCATAGCCATGGAGGAGAATGAAGGAGAAACAGGGCTGTGAATTCTTAATTAATGGGATGCTCAGGGATGCCAGTGCAAGCTTTATAAAAGCGCTGTGGAAGGGTGCGTTTAGAATAGATACAGAAGCTACTCACTGCTATCACTAACTTCGGGAGGTAAAATGGCAGTTTCCAAAGTTCTAGTCAGTGGTGAGAAGGGAAATTATTTTCTCTGAATCTATCTCCCTGAAAACATTTTCATACTGCTAAATGACTTGGTTAATAGCATGGCTCAGAGGTTCCAAAACTCGGTTTCTGAAACTAATTCAACATGTGCACTCAAGAAATGGAAAGAAACAATCATAAGCAAAAATACTAAAGTCCTAATGATTTCAACTAATGTTACATTCCTAGAAGAATCAGGGAGCTTCCTAAATATTTCAAGAAAAGTAAAAGTAATGTAGGGTCTCCTTTTTTCTAAGAAAAAATGTTTAATAATTTAGTGACATTTTCATTTTATTATTCATCCATGGAAACATATTGAAAATTTTAACAGTGCTAGGCACTGTGTTAGGCACAAGAGCTCCTAAAAAACAAGGGCATATCTCTGAATTTAGAGATACCATAGCCTATTTGGAGTGAATACCAAAACCTCCTATGGTTTTATGCAGTTAGTCAAAGAAGTCAGAAGGCTTTACAATAATATTTAAGGAGGTAAGCAGTACATGTAACCAACATTGTTATGACTCTCTCTAGATGTACACAAACTGGAACAAGCATAAAATATCAATACTTAAAGAAAGAGAACAATTGAATTTTTAAAAATATACACCAAGATGTATTTTTACAAATAACATTTTTTGTAAGGTGTATAAAAATTGCTGGAGACTAGTTTGCAGTCACAGTTGTCCTCGAAGTTTTGATGACTTGTCAGAGATCAGTCTTGGTCAGTGTAATTGTGATACATTAACATTACTGGGGCAAGTAAACAATTATGGTAATTGCCAGGATAGATACAGGAGCAGGCTGCGGTGAGAGCCTGTCTTAGTCCATTTGGCTTACTCACTGCTATAAAAAAAAAAAAATCCTATATACAAACTGGATGGCTTAGGCACAACAAAGTTTGTTTTTCTCATAGTTCTACGAGGCTGGAAAGTCCAAGATCAACGATCAGCAGATGTGGTGTCTGATGAGGGCCTACTTTCTTGTTCATAGATGATGCCTTTACATTGCGTCCTCACAGGGTGGAAGGGGCTAGCAAGCCCCCTTGGGCCTTTTTTATAAGGGTATTAATCTCATTTATGAGGACTCTACCCTCATGACCTAATCACTTTCCAAAAGTCCACCTCTTAATACCATCACCTTTGGGGTTATGATTTCAACATATAAATAAATTTGTGGGGAGACAAACATTCAGACCATAGCAGAATGAAAAGAAGAAACTTTACAACTAAGAGTATAAATAATGAGGAGACTATCAGTAGCTCAAAGTTAAAATGCCTTGCTGTATATCAGAACTGTTCGAAAGGGATATTGTTACTCCTGCTCTACAGGGATCCATTCGAGCTCAAGAGAGGTTAAGGCAGAGGCCAACTGTCAACACATTGTAGAAAAAAATCTAAAAGATGAAACAAGGAAATAATCAAGACTTTCCAAATGGATCTAATCCAGAATTTCCAATTCTGGTTTCCAGGCTTCAGTACAGACTTGCCCACAAAGGATGTAAAACTCTCCATCATGGAACAATCTATACTGGAATAGCTGGGTCCTATATCATCACATACCAGGCAGCTCCATGGCAGTCATCAAGGTGACCTTCCCTTTTGTAACATGGCTTTCCTAAAGATCAAAATTTTCATCATGCTCACAAACTCTGCATACTTTTCCAGCCACATTAATTTTAGAGGCATCCTAACAATTGGTCTTTACTCTTCAATGCTGATGTCTGGCACAGTTGGTAATTTCTTTCCTACTGTTCACCCTATCATAAGTTTTCTTTAATCACAACCCAAACCTTTTGTTTTTCAGAAAGTCATCCCAATTTATTACATTTATTCATGGCCTCCCACAGCAAATACTGACCACAAAGATGTGAAATCCTAACAATGTGGACAGGGACATGCTTTTATCTTCAAAATCAAAAGTAGAAGAGGGAGATCTTTTTCCAAGCCTGCCTACTCCTCTTTAATGGTAATAAAACATCATTTATTGAGTGGTCTCTCTATGCCTAATACCTTTCTATACACTTTACAGGAATAACCTCATTTAATCTGCTCCACTGAGTGTGAGTCAAATACTGTCAATATTTCCTTTTGACATAGGAAACAGAAAGGCAAATGACTTGCCTGCAACTGTCCATCTATGTAACAGAGCAAGGGTTTAAACCTAGGCAATGTGGATTTAAAGACTTAACCACTACTCTATTCTCTCTCCAGTATATGACAGTTCTTACTATTATGATCCATGTGGGCACATAAACATGGTAATGTATTCATTAACTAGCTCTGCTTACAGGAAATAAACGAGAGAAGATGGAGGAGAGGAAGGACTAATTGCTAGATTAGCAACGATAATCCCATAAATTAGATGCTAGAGCCAGTCCAGACATGGATCTACATGGAGAGAGAATGAAAAACACATAAAGTAGATCCACTCTGATGCCACAGATTTAAGAGAACTAAGCAAAATAACTGTAATCCCAACAAGACTGACAGAGAATAATAACTAAGCAGATAAGATAGATGGATTCTTTCCGATGTGAAGATGGCATGGGAGAGAGAGTGAAGCCCTCCACATGTGAACGATGACCACCTTTTCAAACTACACAAAAATATACTGCTAATACTTTCACAGCAGTATATTTTGTCTACACTATTTTTATGACCTACTTATATAATGTAACATGGATGCTATTCTACTCTATTAATATCCACCCATCTATCATTGTTCCCAAATTTTATAACTAGCAAAAATTTACATACAACTAACATAAAAAATTTGAGGAGAGCCCATGTTTTGTCCTTTCCTTTTATCTCCCCAAATCTCCTGAAACAGCATATTGGTAATAATAAGCATTTAATATGCTGAAGTTAAATCTATTAAAAATGTAGATACCTTTCATGGGAGGAAATATTTTCCCAGAATTTTTGGAAGAAATTAGATGAAAGAGGAAATGGAAAAGTTTATTTTAATTAACTCAGAAAAATGGCATACAGCAAAGAAATGAAAGATATTAATAACTCTAAAAATATTAAGAGAAAGTTTTAGAAAGGAAAAGTATTATCATGAAATAGGAAATGAATCAGAGAATGCAAGATTTATTTCAGATGGATACAAAAGAGATGGAACTTTAAAATGCAAAGTTGCATTAGAAACAAAATGGCATTTTATAAAGCTTCTAACCTTTTTTTTTTTTTTGAAATGGCGTCTCACTCTGTCGCCCAGGCTGGAATTCAGTGGCACGATCTCAGCTCACTGCAAGCTCTGCTTCCCAGGTTCAAGCGATTCTCCTGCCTCAGTCTTCCGAGTAGCTGGAATTACAGGCATGCGCCACTATGCCAGGCTAATTTTTTTATATTTTTAGTAGAGACAGGGTTTTTCCATGTTGGCCAGACTGGTCTCCAAGTTCTGACCTCCCGTGATCCGCCCAACCTCTGCCTCCCAAACTGCTGTGATTACAGGAGAGAGCGGCCACACCCAGCCTAAAGCTTCTAATCTTTAACCCCTGGCACAAAATCAAACTGGAGGCTGGCTTTTGGGAGAGGATATCTCTTGGTGTCTATGCTGTTGTATTTTCACATTTTTAGAGCTACCTGTTGTATCATGCACCTGTCTGCTCTCAAGTGATTTACTAAAATCAAGAGTTTATGTGTATTTTCTAGCGGCCTGAATTTAGCCTCCTCTTCTCAAAAGATTTGACAGAGAAGAGAGAGAGCTCCTCATTCCCATTCCACGCCCCATGCCCCCAACAACGATTGCTTTCTCAATTTCATCCTACAAATTTGAAAGTAGCCAATGTAACTAGCACAATACAGTGTTAGCAATCTGTTCTCTGAAGAGAAATATTGCCCTAGCCAGATAAGTTGGCAATACTTGGTTGGCTTTCGTTCCGTCATCACATGATAATTACACCATGTATCTCTAAGAGCTTACTTTGCAAAATGAACTTCTTATCATTGCACAGCAAGCATAGGCTACCAATTGAGAGAAAACAAGACTTTTCTGGAAACAATAACACTTCCTTTGCTTTGAAAGGAAATGGAGGATATGGGAAATAATTGCAAGTAAATTTACAAG